TTCACCAACACCTTAATTACAATTAGCTGGCACTGAGTGAAAACACTCTCGTTAGCGCACCACTAGTTAGCTCCAGCAAAAGCACTATGCGATCTGTTTAACAGAGTAATCACAGCAATATATTCAGCGAAAACTTCTTTGCTGAATACTTTGTTTGTGTTATTACAATTTGTCGTACCAATAATGTCGAAGGCTGAAGGCGAGTCCACAGCTCCCCCTCGGAAAAGGAGCTCTTGTGGCAGTCTTTTGAGGGCAAACCGTCTGCAGCTCCAGCTACTGGCGCCAACTTTTAAGTTATTTGATGCTGCTTGGTCAACTCGATGATACTACAGCTGTGACCTGCGTTAGCAAGAAGATGATTGGGAATGAGTGCTCAGATGTCACTGGTAGTTAAACCTGTCTGGGGGGGGGGGGGGGGGTCATCAGAGGTCACATGTTTTTGTTGATATGGATACTTGACGTGCACATGGGTGAGATGGAGATATCCAGTGAGAAGAACTACCTATTGCTCTGGCAGTCAGAAAGGGTGAAATAGAACTGAGGAGAAACAATGTTAAAGTGGAAAATAATGTTATTTATTCTCATTTTTCCAATAATCCTTAGGCCAGCTCGCATGAGTGCTCAACAACCATCTGAACCAGTTCGTCCAAACAATCATGTGATCCGCCAGCCCACCGGGCCAGATGGCACCTCAGGCTTCCGACTCGGCAGATAAACAGGAGCTACCTTAAGCGAGAAATCCACTGTCTCCCTGAGAAGACATAGAAGGGAATGTGTGTGGTATGAAGAGAAGAGTGGCAGTGACACAAATGTTGAACAGACATTAGAAACATGAAGACGTAGCATGAACTGAAGACCTTCTCGAAACCCTCTCTCTACTCTGCTTACTGACATGGTCTTTGCCTTTCACCCAGTCTTTTTCCTGTTGTGGAACTTTACAAGGGGCTGGCAGAGATCAGCCAAAAGATCTGAAACCCCAGCTGTTCCACAATGTGAACAGGCTTTGGCCTCACATCCCTACACACTGTGATACTTTAATGTACCATGAGGTGCCCTATGATTTTTAGTATGATTGGCCAGCCAGGTGCCGGGGCGTCAGGTGTCTGTCTCTTCTAGGAGATTAAGGAGAGTTTGTGAACCTGCAGGATTTCCGCAGACACAGCAAACTTGATGAGTGAGCCTTTCCATGGCTAGAGCGAGGATCAGGGCTGGGTGTCCAGCAGGCCACAGTTTGTCATGTTCAGTGGAAACTAAGTGCTTGACAGTGCAGAGAGTTACTGTATGTTCACCCGCTTCAGTGCAAAGTGGTAGGGGGTCAAACTGATCCAGTCCTTGAGGAGAATTGCACTGTGCTTCAAAGTGTGTTTTAATACTGTGGAGGCACAGACCAGCTAGTTCCGCTCATAGCAAATGCCTGGTGGGCACACAGCCTTTGGCCAAAGAATACAGAAAGCAAGGAGAGAATGTCACAAAATCTAAGTTTATTCAAGCAATAATAATGAATTTACTCCCTGGATTATTTTATATGCATCGCCTAAATACTTGTGCTGTTTCAAATTAGTTTTAGTTTTAAAGTTTACATCGTTTTCATATTTGTGATTTTTTTTTTTTTTTTTCTGTATTTGAGTCAGAAGATCAGTAGTGAACCAGACATTAGATCATGTAGCCTGCATAGCTTTTGGTAGTGTTATATGAAATTTTATCAAATTGAAAAGAGTACAACCTATTCAGGAATTGAAAATCTAAAGTTGTCAGTCAAGTTTGTCCCTGTGTGTTTTTGATCTGAATAGCTAAGAAGAAACTTCTCGTAGAGCCAGCTGCACTGCATAAGGCTAAAAAAAAAAGACTGAGCTGTTATTTTGGATGCAATGCAGTTGCTTTGTGAATAGTGCTATTAAAAATATGATATTGAGTATCTCAAAAATAAACCTCAGATTCCCAACATGGAGGATGATTTAGCCACAAGATAACTACTTCATTTTGTTGGGGGGTGGGGGGGGAGAGAATAAGTCAGGAGAATTTGTGGCGGTACTACAATGATAGAACTGATTAACAATCACATCTATATCCACTTAAGGAAGCCAAATTCTTCTGCCTGGATTTAGGGAATGTGATGTTTTCAAATAAAAGGATTTTACACCATTAGTTTGTCTGCCACCAGATGTGAAAGTAAACGTTTGCGAAACATAAGTCATTGATCTCATAAAATACTGATGGGGTAACCATGCAGACATGTTCACAGTAAATGAACCTTTACAACTTCTGAACCTTTTAACACTTGAATGCCTTAAATTACAAATGATCCACAGTTTCATATGTGCACTTTCAAATGTTTAGTGCTCATTAATCTTGCAAAAGGTTTTTAACTCCATAAAATAAATATGACGTCATGGAGGCATTGTTTGTATCTGCGATTAGCAAAGGTTTTAGGGTGATAAGAATCAACGGTCATGTATGATGCAATTGTGATTTTCTTACAAAGGAGCTCCATGAGACTGTGTTTGATCACAAATATGTCCAAATAAAGATCCAGCATCAGTTTACTATCGATTGTAGAACTCAGTGAATTAAATGATGTATAACAGTAAATTAAACAATTCTCTTCTACACAGCAACCAAGTAATCATTGTGGCTCAAATGTCTTCATTTCTATCACTAATTCCAACCTCACTCAACCAATGTCCGGCAGTTGAAGTTACCTTTTATTGTTGTTTCATGACATAACTGTAAGTTGTCTATTTCTGCCAAAAAACATCAATATTTCTGGATTTCTAAGATAGTACATTGCAGCATTCAAGATTTTTGGCCTTAATACACTGTTCACAGGGATCAGGTTCAACTCTTGAAATAAAAGAGATTTGTAATCATTTTAAATTGATAATTGTAATCAATTAGCCATTCAGAGATCTATCAAGTTTTGTTTCAGTCATTCACACTAATCTGTCCAGTTTTGCTGTCAGTGTTATATTGAAACTTGAAGAAGTCAAATGACATTTGAATACCCTTTAATAAACACACTTCAAAAAGAGAACTGGGTGTGTTTGTTTGGTGTCCTTAAAATGTGCTTTGTCATCAGAAAATTAGATGAATTCAAATATATATTATGATGGAAATATAATGATTACAGCTTACATGAAAACATCTGTAAAAAAAAACCATTTCAACTCTGGTTTGGTTTAAAATAGACGTGAAAATGAACATCTGTGCTCAACATCTGTTAATTACTTACAGTAGTTTGGTGGTTGGATTATATTCATTCAACCATTGCACCGTTGACTTTGTGACAGTGTCTTTAAAAAAATTGCACATTGGTGTGCCATAGCCTACTTAAATTACATGACAAATCACCACTTTTCAATGATCGTGTTTTCTGAATTTACAGATTTAGGCCTGTATAAAGTATGGAGATAGAATTGTCTCAAAAAGATTTATACATGATGTTATAAATGATATGTATAAATATGCATACATTTATAAATATACAAATATAAAAATGTGACATACAAATAAATAAACTAATTTGTATAAATAAACTAATTTGTATAAATAAACGTGCATTTGTAAATATATTTTCTAGATTTGAAAATGAATATTCCTGACTGTGTGTGGATTCTGCATTTGTGGATCGCTTTGGGCTTTTCTCTCAATGACGATGACATGTCTCCTTCAATAACAACATTGAGAACATATGTGTCTTGTGTCATACTGTCTAGCAGGATATTTTGTGTAAAGATTTGTTTCAAGAAGGCAAATACATTTATATTTTTCACAGGAGTGAAACTAAAATGAATATTGGTAGCAAATTAAAAGTACTCCACTAAAAGTACAAGGCCTTGTTCCTAAATTTTACATAAGGACAGTGCAGCCATTTTGGCACTTAAATAGTATTTAAAGAAAAGTATTTTAAGAAAAAATAAAACTTAAGGCAGCACAAAGGCCAATGCTAGAAGCTGCTACTGCACCTAGTACCATCAGGTACTATAGTACTTTCTTTGTATTTCACTATATTCTGCCTGGTGGTTCACAATTGCTTTTCAGAGTGATCTACACTGGTGCTGTCATGGCACCCTCCAATGTACTCCGGTGTGGACTAAGGCACCTCAGGTATTACCAAGCTGCTACCATGGGACCTAAGTGATATAATGATTTGTTGTACCATGGTGATAGCCTATCTGAGGAACAATTGTAATATCTGGGGTACTGCAGTTAGGTACTATGGTATGTACCATGGTAATATGCGAGGTACTATGGTATGCCATAATATTATGTAAGGTACTATGGTATGTACCATGGTAATATGTGAGGTACTATGGTATGCCATAATATTGTGTAAGGTATTATAGTATGTACCATGGTAATATGCGAGGTACTATGGTATGCCATAATATTATGTAAGGTACTATGGTATGTTACGTGGTATACCATAATAATATGGGAGTTACTATGGTATGTACCATGGTAATATGTAAGGTACTATAGTAATATATCATGGTACATACCATGATATATTACTATAATAGTGGTTCTCAACTGGTGGGTCGGGACCCAAAAGTGGGTCGCGTAGCTAATTTCGGTGGGTCATGAACATTTGACTGGGGGGAAAAAAGTGTCAAAAAGTCTATGAAGTGATCTTAAAACATGTTGGTTTTGTTCGATCCCTGTGTTTACCATGGTAAACTTTATTATGGGGGTCGGCAGGGCGTTTCAAAATGTCTCAAAATATCTACTGTTCACCTTTTTTCCACCATAAAACAGATTTAGCAGTATGATATAATGATATAGCAGTATGGACACAACTATGTGTGACTCAATCTGCTGTCGACAATTCATTTCCTTTCCCATTTAATCACACAACAACTGTCCCTGAAATCATCGAGGTGTTAAGTGCCGGACTTACAGTACAGGCCTACGTTTGTGATGCTTGGACCATCCGGACCATACGCGGCGCTGTTCATATTGTGAACCGCAGCTCTTTGGGAATCTCATCGTCGGGTTCAATTCAACTTCAGCCGAGGTGTCTAAAGACGGAAGTTGTTTTGATAGTTCAGTAAAAGTTGACAAAATGGCAGAAGACGACAGTTATGAGTCAATGCTCTGCGTGAAGCCCGAGGTCCATGTCTACCGGATCCCACCGCGAGCATCTAACCGTGGATATCGGTAAGATGACACCAGCCAGGAGAAACGATAGTAACCGAGCAAGTCTCACTTTCTGCGAAATACAAACAATATCGGACAGCCACTTGATAAAGTGGATATTTACTTTTCTCTGTTTCGGGTGGTTACAGCCCTCAGGCAGATATCCTGGCGATAGTTTACTCATGCATGAGTTGGCTGAGTCAAACGCGAGTGGCTGCACTGCAAAACACGCCATCGTAACTTTATCTGCTCACAGAAATGGGACATTATGTACCAACTTTGTCCACAAACATTTAACATTTACCTGCAGTAAATACACCTGTTGACTATAGAAAGTGGTTAAAACACGAAAAAGGTCTGACAACGCTGACAAGCCTGGAAAAGTTTAAAATAGTTCTTGTGTCCAGTAATGGACGAGAGAGGTCAGAGTCAGTGGAGTGCTCAATGATTCATTCTTAAAATGAATTGACTACTTTTAAATATAGTGTTTAATGTGTATAGTATGTACATGTATAATGTAACGTGTTCAATGTGTTTTGTGCTGGCCTTGTAGAATAAAATTGTATTTATCAGATGAGTTACAATACAGTCTTGAGAAGTGACATAAGAAGTTCACTCTTGATTCTTGAAAACACTGAACAGCAGGCTAGTTGAAAAAAAAGCCAGATTAAGCTTTCACTAGAGCTTTAACTTATTGCACAGTTTCATTGTATTGCACCTCTGCTGACTGAATTTTGCTCAGAATTTATGGAGAACAGAAAACTTGGATTGAAAAAAACCCAGACAAAGATACTCTGTGGATGAGACAAGATTTTATTCTTGTAATATTATCTTATGATCATATTTGGTTTTTTTTGGTGAATTTAATATATGTATTTCTTTTAACATAAACATTTTATTTCAGTGTTTTCTATACATATTACAAGTAGGTCTTGTTAAAAAAAAAAAAAGATACCTCCTCAGTTGTGCTCCTTAAACTCTCATATTTTCCCCTGTTCAATAGTTTATCTTAATGGAAATGTACATTATCCCCCTAAAGGTAAATTTGCTGTTTGTGATACTGGAATTTAATGCATGAATTTGAGTCTACCTTTCCGTATGTGGGACTGCCTCTTTTGGGGATTATGTTTCTTATTTTAATGCTCAAGGTGAATTCTCTGAAATGTTAAGATCCCAGTGGTAACTTTAAAGGGTCCACATGCGTGATATTGTAATTACATTTCGAAACAATCTAGTCAACTTTTTAAGTATTAAGAGGAGCTGATAGATATGTCAAAGTGATTCACAATGTAGAATCTCTAAAGTTGTTTTTGGCTGTCCTTTTAAAGGATTCTTCTTCAAAGTGCAGGAGAACAAAAGAGATAAATGTTAACATCAGTTTCACATTGTGGTCTTCCTGAAAATGTTTATTTCACTTCCTCATGCTGTGGAAAGCGACAGCTGCCAGTGTAAAAACAGTGACCTTATTCAGTGAATGATGAGTAGACGAAAACCCCTCTCTCCTAATCACATGTGTGTTTCCTGTTTTTCTAGTGCTGCAGACTGGAAGCTGGACGAGCCTGCTTGGAGTGGGAGGATGAAAATCACTGCAAAAGGCAAAATGGCCTTCATTAAGTTAGAGGACAAAAACACAGGTAATACAAAAACAACTTACTGATTTGAGGGCAGGAGTTCCTTTTAACATGAATCCCTGTTTGCGAAAAAAAAGAAAATCCAGTATCACAAAAGTGTGATCGAAGTGTCGGTCCCCTTGCCACCTATCTTTGTCCTTTTCAACCTTTTCAACCTTTTCAACCTTCAACCTTTTCAACCTTTTCAATCTTTGTCCTTTTCAACGATTTACTTAATTAAAAAAGACACTTAAACTGTTTGTTGTTCATTTGTTCTGTGCAGGAGAGTTGTTTGCCAAAGCCCAGGTGGAACAGTACCCAGGCAGTGTTGTTGAAGCTGTCACAGACTCAAGTCGATATTTTGTGATCCGGATAGAAGACGACAATGGTAAGTCCCTTTCATCAGACACTAATTTCAGCTATTAAACTTTTTTTTTTCTTAAGACGCATTGGTGCCTTCTATACTGTAGCCAGCTTATTTTCTAAATGTATTACATGTTCCTCTAACAAGAGAATAAGTCTCTGTTTTCCCTGTGATAATTAGCCAGATTATTAAATCATCACCCAATGCTGTTTTTACCACTCTTTATGTCAGAGAGAATGCTGTAAGTAAAAAAAAAAAATGGATACATACGCCACATTGCTAGCAGCTGTATAGAGCATTCATTTGGTCCATAAATGTTTTATTGTTTAAAGGTGATGTGTAAGGTTTCCTAATGTGTTTTGTCTTTATAATTGGTCTGATTAAGGACGCCATGCTTTCATCGGTCTGGGTTTTGCTGATCGCGGAGACTCATTTGACTTCAACGTAGCTTTACAAGACCATTTTAAGTAAGTTTGCTTCTCTGAATAAGACATTTTGAACATCTTGCCTCTGTTTAAGCATATAATGTGTGATGTTTATATGTGCCTGGTACACTTGCATGAATATGTTTGCATGTGATATTTTGAGGCACATTCATGCTCTGAAGACAATGGTGAACCTTTGTCAATCATTTATAGAGTTTATTTATTTTCTTGGCAAAGGCAGCAAACTTTTAATGTTGCTCATAGTGTTGTGTGGCATTATGAATATACTTAACTATAAAATGTGTTTAAGTTGATGCTTTCTATTTCTAAAGGTGGGTGAAGCAAGAAGGTGAGCTGGCGAAACTGGAAGCTACTCAGAGCGAAGCACCTAAGCTGGACCTTAGCTTCAAGGAGGGACAGACCATCAAGATCAGCATTGGGGTGAGTAATCATCCCCAACATCACAAAAGCACACATAAGCACACACAAAAAGTACTCAAAGGATGAAGAAATAACAGATAATCTCGTTTCTGACATGAGACTGACATGACTGTGTCTATTACAGAATGTCAAGAAGAGGGATGCAGGAGGTGCCAAAGCACGGCCCATGGCTGGGGGTCTGCTGCCACCTCCACCAGGCGCAAAGGCAGGAGGGGTCTTACCACTTCCTGTTGTACAACAAACAGTCCCAGCTGCACAGACTAACCCTGGTGATCACTTTGCTATTGCATAAGATTGTTTTTTAAACTTATTTCACATGATTGAATCAGAATTCATGATGTATTAAACCCTATTTCTCCAAATCCAGACCCTCTTTTAGACTTTGGGTCCCCCGTCCCTGTAGCCCAGCCCAGCTCGGACTTATGGGGGGATTTCACATCTGCTGGTTCCAAGTAAGTAATTCAGAAGTTGTCAGAAGTGTTTTCATCTTCTTAGTTCTTCACCTTATCATGTCCATCTGTCACACAAGTGTTCATGATCAAATTTTACCTACTGACTTCATCATCATCATCATCATCGTCATCATCATCCCTCTCCTCCTCCACAGCTCCAGTAATGACGCATCGAAATCAGGATGGGTGCAGTTTAGTTGAGTTATGGGGAAGCATGCACACACTCAGATTGCATACATTCCACGGACAGGACGATTTGGGGTGAGAAAGAACAAGTGAGAGGAATTGTTAGCAAACTTGACTGGCTAATTCACTGCACCGATTCTGAAAGACTGTTCATATACAACAACAGCCGGTTGACCAACAAACTCAGTAAAATGTTCCTATTTTTACAATCATATTGTATTTCGAGACTCTGCTATGCAACCATTTTTTTTCCCAATACTTTTTTCCTCGTCTTTACAACATCATGCACACGTTATCGTTTAACACCAGCAACACTCATCTCAATATTGCTTTTACCATTTGGGAAAATAAAAGGTTTACCTATTGAAGTATCCATGTTTTATTTAGCTGTAGCTCAGTATGTGTTCCCCCCCCCCCTTGTATTTTAGTCATTCTTTTAGGAGATTTTTCAAATTCAGATTGAGATTTGATTAGCTTTATTTAAAACCTCTTACGCCTTCATTAAAATATAGCCAGACTTTTTTTTATCTTTATGTTTTGAAAAAAAAGTCCTATTTGTCATTTTGTCAACATTTTACAACTTGAACATGTTTCTGTTCATGTGTCTTTTTGTGTAGACTCTATGTTTGTCTCTGCCTTGTGTATTGTTACTTTTTTTTAATGTGCCTTTTACCAAATTGAAACTTCATGAATCTTTGATGCTGATATAAACTGAGTATTTGATCAAGTGCCTTCCTGGAAAAGAACGATCTAAATTGTATAAATGTTTTTCTTCTTGTAAATAAAACAATATATTTCACTGGCTCTTGTTTTATTTATGCGTAACATAGTATTTTTTCTTTCTTTTTTTTAAATAGGGGATTCACCCATCATGCTGTATCTACACAAATCTATTGCCTTCTAAAACTTAGCCAGATAATGTCTCCCAGTTATTTTACTGTTTGATGATAATGTAAATGTGTTGAAAATAAAAGATTCCTCAACAAATATTACATCATGTTATGTGACCTTGTGTCCTAGAATAATAATAATAACCATGCTTTAAAAAGCGCGCATGTTTCTTATGATGAGGTGTGTCTCATTGTAGTATTGATATCTAATATTGATTTGAGGGCACAAAGTCACATGACACGAAAGTAAGTTAGCTTTCAAGATACTGTCAAGAGTTTTGTCCTCAAGAAACAGTAATTTATTGATGATCTCTTAGTCAGCTTCGGTTGATTAAAGGTGAGAATACACGATCCATGTCGATCCAACTAGAAAACAAATTGACTGAGGTCCTGCAGCGGCTCATCGTGTGCGCCCACACGTACAGTGACATCAGGCCGGAGCTGCTGCGGCTGAAGTCCCTCCCCGGAAAAAAGCATGGAGGAGATTTCAGGGGAAGCATCTCTGTCTGCAAGCAGCTGCTGTTATGTTTACAATACCTGCTGTGGATGGTGATTATTTCTGCCCCTGTGATCGTAAAGACCGCTCAGAAGAATGGAGGACTGGCGGGCAAATCCTCCTCAGACTGATCAGTCGAGGTGAGGCTGTAAATGTTACAGGGAAGTGGAAGTTTCACTGCGTATAACCACAATGTGAATACCGATAGTATCTGAAGCCTTTTACATCCTTGCTGTTTATATATCGCGTATGTGTCGGTGGTTATCAGTCTATGTTGCTTTAAAACACAGTCTTTATTGATCATCAGTTAAGTTGGCTCTGATGCTGAACACTTCAATGTGCAACCCCCTCCTTCCTCCTCCTACATCTCCTTCTCCCTCTTCGGTCCAACTACTGACTGATTCGAAAACTCGGGCGTGACCTTATGGATGCACTTTTACAGATGAAGTTGAAGATAATCTAGGGGATTCATTTGGGACAACACACAATAGTAATATGTTTATTTTGAGCTGGGTCCTGAGGTAAAGAAAAGACAGCAGCTCTTGGATGGAGATCATTTTATTTTGATGGCTGCATCACTGGCTGGATACAGAAAAGCAGTCAAAAGTCAAGAATGTAGGACAACTCTGTTGTAGTTTGGCAGTGCAGATGATAGATAAACAGGTTAGTAAGCATTTTCATCGGAAATAAAGCTCACATCTACTGAAGTCAGTAGTGGTCAACAAGCCAGTAGGGGGCGCCATAGATGTTCAAATTCAAAATTGAGGAAAAAAATACTTTTGTCTATGTAAGACTGCTGTCAAGTGAGCCCGGCTGTTATGCAAGCAGGTCAAACTTTATTGTAATTTTTGCTGCTTGATGGACACCCCTCGTTTTCACAGTACCTCTCTAGTTAATCATTTACAACTATTTCATGTGGGGATTTGTCATGATATTTATAGTGAATCTTGTGAGCCTGGCTTCATTTGATTTAAATTAGGCCCACTCTCTTATATTTTAAATCTCTTCAAGCCAAACCCTTTTATTCTCGCGATTTTGTGGTTAAATAATTGTGTTGATATTTGTGGCTCTTGACATAGTGTTAAGATCTGGCCAGAGGCGATTCTAGAGTCTTTTGGGGCCCAAGGCAAAATTAATTGGGGGGTGTTCCAACCAGGGTTCAGCAGGGAAATGAGAGTGAATGCTGTCAGATGGAGCACCCTTAGGGCGCGTTCACACTGGCAATCTGTACTGTGCAGAGTCAAGCACGATTGGCCCCCCCGCTGCCCCATTTCCCTGCTGGCCGGCATGGCCTGCGGTCGTAGGACTAACCGTGCCTAAGCAAAATTACCTCTTGCACATAATGTCGTAATACAACACATACATGCTTTATGTTATATGTTTATGTTAAAACATTTTTAAAAAGGGACGCGCAGTCGTGTCTGCGTCTGCACATCGGAGAAGAAATTGCAAAATTTTCACATTATGTGTCGCTGATTTAGTTTAAATTTTGTCAGCCCTCTGGGGCCCCCTACTTTTCAAGCAGTTACCTGCCTTGCCTGTTGACAAGCAGCGCCTCTGGATTCAGGTTCAAGTTGACAAAGTTGTGATCTAGTTGTGATTGTTAAGATTAATGGCTGTAGTGAATGCAGTAAGTCATTGGGGGTTCTCACTCGTTCAGAACAACAGTGATGTGTGTGTTAAGGCCGGACTGCAGGGCTGCTGTTGACACAATGACCCTCTGTCTGTAACTATGACGATCCAAACACCAAGTAGTGCGATGCTGACCGTCCCATAAAGCTATGTTATAGCTACAGTCACATGTCTGGTCCTTAATATTTACAGTCTATGGTCTGGATGCTTTCAAAACACAATTTCAAAGGCAATCTGTTAATGACTAGTGCAATTGTAAAGAAGGGGTGTTTAAAGTCTTCAGGTGTTTATTAATAATATGATAATTCTGCATGAAAAAAAGGTTTTCATGTTGTTTTAATTGTAGCTGTGACCGGGGATAGTTGCAACAAACAGGAATTTTGCAGTAGTTAGATGAACAGTTTCTATACATTTTAAAATTAAAGGGCCGTGGACCAGGGTCAGGTAAGTCTCATGGAACAAGAAAGAGTTAACTCAATTTTAACTTACATTTTGAGAAAGGTCACAACCTCGAACACATGAACACAAACTATAGGCTACTTTATTAGAACTTATAATGCCAGAAGACCCCTCAAGACGGTGCTTGGATGAGAGACAAAGTGCAGAATCTTACCTTTTCTGTTCTTATTTGTGCACGTGCAAATATTAAAGGATAAAGGTAGACTTTCTTAATGCATTTGATGCAAGTTTAAATGAATTTAGCTACTCTTCACTAACTGCAAATTTAATATAATTTAAATCTTGCTTTAAATTTGATTTTCAAAATACTCTCCTTGGTACATTAGGGGGAAATAGGTTTTACAAGTTCTTGTTCTTTGTTTGGTGGGCTTATAAAACTTTTATTTAGCTTCTTTTTGTTGGGCAGTTGAATAGCAATGATCTGAGAGGGTTTTGAGTTCTAGCAGTGAGAGTGGAGTGGCGTTAGTGGAGGTGTGGGGGGTGCATCTTAAACCTGCTAATCCTGCGTCCTCAAATCTCTGCCTCCCTGCACCAGAGGAGGAGGAGGAGGAGGAGGAGGAGGAGACGGGACGGTCGCACTCCCCTGCAATTCAACTTTGTCGGCTGCACAAGCAACACACGACTAACTCCTCCAGGGTCTGACCTTGTCTGTGTTTACCGCTGAAGAAAATAAAAAGACGAAATTACAGCGTGTGGACGCGTCGCGTTTTTCTCGGAGTTAATCCTATTCGCTGGAGGGTTTTAAATATCCACTGTCGCCGCGATGAGCGCTGAAAACTCAGACACCGACACCAACAAACTAGAATCTGTGATACAGGTGAGGCACCCCACATCCTCTCTTCATCTGTAGGCCTACACTGTTATTTTATGGAATTAAAGCTGCTGGTTTTGTGAATTGTTGTAGGCTACGTGTATGAGTAGCCTACCATTTTCATCAGTTTAGCATTGCTTTGACAACACTTGGTCCCCTACTTTTCAAACACATCATCATCATTTAAGTGTTTGAAACCCCCTGTAAATATTTGGCTGTATGCTACTTTGTGTTTGGCTGGGGCAGCCCTTGTTTGTCTTGTTTTTTTGTTTTTTTTTAAATGCAGCTGAGCTTAATAACTAAATATTTGTGATTTATTTTCCAGAGGCTGGAGGAGAGCGTTTTGTCTGAGGAGAAGAGGCTGACGGTCCGAGGTCCTTCACCAGATGCCCCCCCTACATGTCTGCCAGCACGAGTACGAGAGATAGTCACAAAGAACCTGAACGACAACGGCAAGTTTCTTTGCTCTCCCATCATATAACATAGCCCATTATGTTTTGACCCTGCTCCTTGCCTAATAGTTGTCCATATGCAATCTTTCTCTCAGCAGCTGGAGCCATGTCCTCGGTCATGTCCATTCAGGAGGAGAACCGGGTCCTGCAGGGAGAGCTGTCGAGGCTGGAGGACCTGCTGGCACACAGCCGAGCGGACCGAGATGAGCTCGCCATCAAGTATGGCGCAATTAGTGAACGGGTAAGTAGGTAAAGACACCGAGACAACACACAGCAACAGCTGATTGTGATGTAGGGAACATGAGGCGGTTGCAACTGGATATAAATAAAAGAGAGATAAATATGACTGTGAATGCCATTAAATACCATAGTTTGTCAAAATTCTGATACTTTGTATATAAAGTAAAGGTGCAGGACTTTCCAATTCCTCAAGGTTATACACACCAAAAGGGGATCTTGAGGTTTCCCCATTTCAGTATTTTCTCTGTCGTCTTTGTCTGAGATTTGTATGTCTCCCAGGTGATGGGGGCAGGAATGAACTGAAGTGGAATGTTGCCATGGCGTTTGTCACCCTTGGTGACTGTAAACAGGGGCTTCAGTGGTGACAAAGAGGAGGTGTAGTGGTGGGCAGGGATTGCATCTGATTTTTGATAGAACTTTACTAAAGAAAAACACACAGATCTGAATACGAGAACAAAAAACTACCCTGACGAAGTAATGTTGTCCTTCAAATACGTAAGACCCTTTAGAAACTCACAAATAACATACAATATTTAAGAGTTTTATGATGAATGCGTTTTGTCCTCGTAATACCTGGTTTGTCAGAACAGTGTTTGAAGCCAAAATAAATTCTCTGCTGGAAGTATGTGATTGAAAAGATTTAAGAAAACAAACTTCAAAAAGTGTTAATACGAAAACAATTCATGATTATTTCTTTCATTTTAACTTTTTGATTACTGCAACTCTGCCACTTTAAAGTTATGAAAACATATACTTAACACAAACATTGAGCATTTACAACATTTTCTAGCACCTAATTTAAATGTATTTAAAATCACA